GAGTCCCTCATCTGTGAAATAGTGATCCCATTATGTGCTGTGTTCTCAGGATGGTTATGGGGATTATCTGAGACATGAATGTAAAGGGCTTTGTAAATGATAAATGAGATATAAATCTGATCTGCGATGGGCCGCGACGGTGTGGGGTTGGGGGGGGCGGGTGCCTAGCCTCCTTTCTTCCACAGTTGCAGCCGCATTTGGTCCTGTTGAGGCTCACCATGGAAACCTGCCTCCCCAGCCAATGGGACAGTGGTGGCCATGTCAGCTTTCTCTCCCGACAGAATGCTCTGTGCTCCTCTGGTCTTGCCCCATGGACTCCTCCACAGCTCTTTTTCACCATGGGATGCGTGGGGAGCACTTTCAGTCGCTGGTAACAAGCCCTGAGCCAGATCTCTGCAGAGCCATTAGGCTGTGTTTTGCTGAGCATCTAGAGACACTGGAGGCTTTCCAAGTGTGCGTGTTTTTAGGGCCTTGGAGGGGTAGGAGCTCAGGCACGGGAACGTCGATGGGGTGCTCACAGACTACTTCACTCATGTTGTTTTGCCTGTCCTTACCCTCTGAAGTGAGGTCCACTGTCTCGTTTTACAGAGAAAGGGCTGATCTAGTAGGCTGCAAATTCCAGTCTCTGACTTGCGGTGTGTGCATGAGGCTGGACGTGCTGATGGCCGTCCAAGAGGTGGGAACGGGTTTCAGTGACAGAAAGATGACAAGGACTCTGTGTAAGCAAACTTGAGGAGGCACAAATGAACTGGGTGCCGTCAAGGCATCTTGGTGCTTTGGGGACACAAGGACACTATGATCAGAGTAGGGGAGGGGGTGCCACACTGAAGGGGTCAGAGTCATCCCGGGTCCTCATTTCCCCCATTGGAATGATAAGGAGATCAGAAATGAGGCTCTCAAGGTCCCTTCTAGTACCTGCTCTCTAGATGGGGTGGGGGGGTCTGGTTTCTCCCTCCCCCCAAATCATTTCCCTTCCCATCCCTGTAAAGCCTTCACAGAGCAGTGGGCTTTGGTGCATGGAGAGGTGTCCAGGGTGAGAAGAACCTTACGTATCAGCACCATGAAGAAGACAGCCACGGATTCCCCAGGCACAGGACCGAAGCAAATGGAGTCCTGGGGCGGCCTCCCCGTTCACCCCCGTGGGTTCAGTAGCCATTTACATGCTCAGGAGGACACTCCCTCCATCTCAGAAGCTGCATTGGAAAATAACAACTGAGCAAGTTGTTGCTCTGAGCTAGCTCCTCAGCCCAAAGCTGGGCGGGCTTCAGCCCCTGGCACTCGCTCCAGGGCAGTGTGTGGGCAGAGGATGAGCTGGCTGCTGGCTGGGTTGGTTTAAAGGGAAGTGGGGAGCTTCCGGGACATTGAAACTCTCTGCCCTTGGTAAGGGTGCAGTCACCGCCGGTGGGCAGCCTTGTCCCTTTTCCATGTCAGGTGTCTTAATTTTCTGTGTGTCGTGACACAGAAAAGCCTGGAAAACTCTATCCCTCGACATGATCTGTTCATTTCCTCCAAAGGACATATAATAACCTGTAATTGTCTTGTGTATTTATTTCCACGTTGTCTGTCTCTTTGCCCAAAATGTGAGCTGCAGAGGGGCCAGGATCCTTTATCTAATTCCAAGCACAGAGACCAATGCTTGGCACAGAAAGGATCCCAAATGTTTGCTGAGCAAATGCACCCATGCATGCATGCATACATTCAAGTGCGTCGTTTGCAGCAAATGCTCAGTGAACATCAGTTATCTTTCCTGAGAATAATTCTCCATTAGCTTGGGGTGAAGAGGTGGTGCTTGAGCTCAAGCCCTCAGGATATAAACACTGGATTGGAAGGGGAAGGGAAAGGTAAGTATGTAGGGGGAGATGGGGGCACCGGTAGGGAGGTACAGGAGGGAGGCGTGGAAGGCTTTTATTGACAGTTGAGTCAGCTGGCCCAAGGGGAAGAGTGGCTCTTTAATCATCTGGCTGTTTGGGGTCGGTGTAGCCATGTGTTAGGAAGCACAGAAAAGCGCTTCCATGTGGCCTTGGGCAGATCACATGATTGCTCAGAACCCCAGTTTCCTCATCTGTCAAATGGGCATTCATTCTTCTAGTGCTTTCCTATGCCACAAGGGCCGCCATGAAGCAATGATGAGCGATGTCCAATGGGGATGTGCCGAGCACACGTGATTGAATTTTCACTTTGGTGATTTTGTTAAGACTCCTCTGGGAGGTCCTTTGTCATGTTCTGTTATGATTTTTATCTTGATTTTTAGTTTGTTATGAGTCTTATGTTAACCAGGTTTCCCACCCTCTGCAGGTGAGATGAACCAGCATATTGTAAACATTGGCCCAAATCTTGGATCCTGAAGACTGGGACCTCTAGCCAAAGACCGGCACCTCCCCACTCACTGGGTCCTGGCTGGGGAGGGAGCCTCCTTTTAAAAGGGGCCCCATAGGGGCTGGTTGAGCCTAGGTGGGGGGGGACTCACACTCTGCCCTCCCCTCTCCCAGGTACAAGACAGTGGTGACTCCCCGGAGGGCAGTGGTGGCCATCGCTGGCTGCTGGATTCTCTCCTTCATCGTGGGCCTGACACCCCTGTTCGGCTGGAACAGGCTGGGGGAGGTGCAGCAGGCCTGGGTAGCCAATGGCAGCGAGGGTGAGCCCGTGATCAAGTGCGAGTTTGAGAAGGTCATCAGCATGGAGTACATGGTCTACTTCAACTTCTTTGTCTGGGTGCTGCCCCCGCTGCTGCTCATGGTCCTCATCTACTTGGAGGTCTTCTACCTGATCCGCAAGCAGCTCAACAAGAAGGTGTCGGCCTCCTCTGGCGACCCGCAGAAGTACTATGGGAAGGAGCTGAAGATCGCCAAGTCACTGGCCCTCATCCTCTTCCTCTTTGCCCTCAGCTGGCTGCCTCTGCACATCCTTAACTGCATCACCCTCTTCTGCCCTTCCTGCCAGAAGCCCAACATCCTCATCTACATCGCCATCTTCCTCACGCATGGCAACTCGGCCATGAACCCCATCGTCTATGCCTTCCGCATCCAGAAGTTCCGGGTCACCTTCCTTAAGATTTGGAATGACTATTTCCGCTGCCAGCCCACGCCCCCCGTTGACGAGGACCCCCCAGAAGAGGGTCCCCATGACTAGATTCCACCTACTGGGCCTGCATGCCCACATCGGGGGCATCTCAGCCCAGTCCCACCCCCCCACCGGTCCCACTCCCTGAGCCTTCCTGGCTGAGCTGTGGGGTGTGGGTGCCCTACACCTTGGGTCCTGGAGGAGGTTGGGGGTGCGCTCTGTGAGGGGAGGAGCCAGGTAACCCAAGGGGAGGAGGAAAGTGGCTTGAGCCTCCCCACATGTGTAACCATCCCACAGGCAGCCCGGTGCTTCAGGCTGGACCGACCTGGGGAGAACGAGGCTGCAAAGGGGCCCTGTGGGCTGGGAGAGCAAGCGTGGGCTCCCAAGGGAGTCAGGGGAGCATGCATATCTCTGGTGGTGGTCATGCAGCCCTGGGACCAAGCCTAAGGAAAGGAGAGGATCCCCTCCAACATGGCTGGAGGGAAAGAAACGGGACTTCATGGCCTTGCTTTCTCTCCTGTTCTGTAGGAGAAGGTGGCAGAACCACTGAGGGGCAGGAATCAAGGAGCCTCAGTCCCAGCCTCCCAGGACCCTGAGCTCCCAGCTATGCTGGGCGCCAGGGTGCCTGCCCTCCTTGCCCTGGGGAGCCCAGGTTTATACTTGGGAGAAGCAGAAAGAGTGGGTCCAGAAGTCATCCCCAACCTTTGCTTTATTCTCCACCAGCCCTCGGACCCGGGGCAGAGGAGGGGTGAGGGAGGGGGGTGGCGCTCCAAGCCCCCTGGAGCTGGTATGGAATTGATGTGCAGGCCTTCCATAACCACCAGGTGGCAGCACTGAGCCATTGTTCTCGCCCTGAGTATCCTAAGTTGGAGCCTGGAGTGTAACTACCTGTCATCTGGGCCAACCAGCTCCCCTACCCCCTGATGATGGCCTGGACTCTCCTAAGTGACATCCATCTCTGCTGTTTCTGGGCCAGATGGAGAGGAGAGCCCCAGACGTGCCACCATGAGGGCGCGTTCTGCCTGCCTTTGGAGGGGGTGGCCAAGGGAAAGTGCTGGGGTTGGGCACTCCTGGGATGCCATGGAGCAGGCTGGAACAGGCCAGAGGAGACCACAGTCCTGATAGTAAGGGCGGGGAAGCCTTGCTGGTGTTTAGATACCCTCATCTCCTTGGCATCTAGCACAGTTTTCAGGGGCCTGGGGCTCTGTTGAACAGTCTAGGCTCTAGAACATCTGGGGAAGGGTCTACCCTCTGCTAAACTTGGGGCCCCCGTGTACAGAGGGATGGGGGCAGGGTTCTGAGCACGAATATCAACTCCAGCCTTGATTCCAGGCCCTCCCCTTCCTCAGAGGTAGGGTGTTTCCTGGCTCCCAAGGAGGGCCATCTGACTAATAAAAGACTGTGAACCTTGATGGAGAGCACACCCCTGGCTACCTAAACACCCCCCACCCCCACCATCTAAGGGAAACAGACAACCTCAGCAGAGATGAGCGATGGGGGCGGGGGCGCAGAGATGGGGAGGAAGAAGGGAGAGGGGAGATACGGAGGCATTCAGAGCAAGGAGGTTTCCAGAGTGTGTCTGTTCCTGTAGTCATGGCTCTAGGCATAGCAAACCCTGAATGTGAAAGTGAAATCCCAAATATACCTCATGTCTGGAATTCCCCACCCTCCCGTGACATCCTGAATCCTCTCCCACTGGAACCTTCCTCATGATGTCATATGTGGAGACCCCCTCATGGTGACACATTCAACCTCCCTCGCTGTGCCACAGCGCCTCCCCCATCACAACGATGCTGTCACAGAGGCCCCTGCACAAGAACACCACACACCTTTATTTGAGGGCTTCTCACCCAGAGGGCAGCTCTCTGTAGGGACACTCCAATCTCTGCACTTTCCAGGCCCCCTGGTGCCCAGGAAGCCTGGCCTGGGGCCTGCCAGGCCTACTCCTGGCTACTGGGCTCCAGCCTCTGGGGGAGGAGGCCAGGCAGGTACCAGGGAGCAAAGCCATCAGCTGCCATCATGGAAATGGGGGTCTAGGGCATCCGTGGAGCTTGATTCTGAGTCTGGCGGCCCCAAGCCCCCAGGTCTACAGCACCTGGCAGAGAACATGCTTCACGAGTCCTGCTGAGGAGGCGACACAGGACAGAGGGACACAGCCGCCTCTTTCCTTCCCAGGCCTCCTGGTCCAGGGGCCCCATGTCCAGCTCTGGGCTCGGCCGCTGCGGCTCGGGGATACTTCCCTGCTTGTCCAGAGCCTCAGAACCACCTGGAGAGGGAAGGTGGGACACAGGTTGTTGCCCCCACTTTGCTGACGAGGGAATGCCCCGGGCTAAGGGCATGCAGAGCTGAGCCAAGCCCCCTGTCTCATGTGCACGTTGTCTGAGATGGCAGGTTTGTACCCAGAGCTGACCCCCACCTTCCCTCTCACCCCCACCCCTTGCTCTGGCCTCTGCCCCCAGACACAACGGGCCCAGCCATTTACCGTTCTCATCACAGCCTCGGGTCGCTCTTCAGTGCGTGGCTGAGGCTGGAAGAGATGCCACAGTTAGAGTGGGGAGGGGGGCGTCTGCAGGGACCCCGAGTTGGGGGTAGCAGCACCAGCGGGGCTGAGGGCTACCCCCCACCCCCACCCCAGTCAATCGATCAATCTGAGTGGCAGACTTGACTACCTCCTCTCCCTACCCGGGGCCAACCTCCACATGGAAAATCCTCTGACAGACCTCTCCATCTCCACTGCCCCCTCTGCCTTGCCTTGATTCCCAGCACGCGGCCTCATCTGGTCCAGCAGGAGAAGCGGTGGCTTCTCCTGTTCTCCTGTCCTCGGGAAGACCCTCCTCATAACCTTACCTTTGACCTCCAGCCGGCAGTCCACAGATGCCTCTCCTAGCACATTGATGGCCTTGCAGGTGTAGACCCCAGAATCGAAGGGGCTGGGCTTCCGGATCTCCAGGGTGCAGACGCCTTGCTCAGAGAGGGCGCGGTATTTGGGGTCACCCTGGATGTCCATCTTGTTTTTCATCCAGATTATCTTGGGCTAGGGGAGCATCAAGAGCAGAGGAGAGCTGAGGAGGTTGTGGGTGGGGCTGGGCTTTGAAGGAGCTGCCTGTGAAAATTCTCCAAACCACTGGCCCACCCGCCCCACCGACACCCGCACACAGCAGGGCTTCACCCCTTTACCTTGGGCGATGCACGGACACTGCAGAAGAGCTGAGTGCTGTAGCCCGGGGTGGAGGTGTGGTCAGCCAGGGGCTGAGTAAACGAGGGGGCTTCTGAGAAGTCTCGCTCGACAAACCCTTTGGGTTTGGCAACGATACCTGGGTTTGGGAGAGAGGGGGGCACATTTGAGGTTATAGGAGTAGACCTCTCAGAACTGACCTCATCCATTTTCCTAGAATAATCACTATAGTTTACACTTCGGTGGCTCATTTAATCTACGTCATGTTCCTCTGCAAGCGTGAGTGTGTTATCCCATTTGACAGATGGGAAACGAAAGCCCTTCATGGATGAGTGACTTGCCCAATATCACTTAGTGAGTTTGGGGCGTAAAAGGTAGAAAATTACACGAGGACCATGGCTCTCTGGGCAGAGAGCTACTGATTTGGAGAAGGATCCTAGCATCACTCGCGCAGGAGACAAGCCATTTCATGGCTGCCGCAGGCCGAAGGGGCCCTGGGGCAGGATTCCAGGCTCCTGTGGTCTTCGAAGCCAGGAGTGGCCGATGTGTGGGAACTTAGAGACAGAAAGTCTCAAGGAGGCAGAGGAAAGCTGTGACCATGACCGGGTGGGCCAGGGAGGGGACCGAGAGAGGGAATGGGCAAGAAAACTGGAAAAAGGAGATGCTCTTGGCTGAGGCTGAGAGCTTGCAACCAAGAGACACCATATTTCATTTCTGTTTGTCTTTGGAGACCTGACTGGCTTTCCTTTTTTAAACAAAAATGTCTTCCTAATTCTGTGTAGCTCGGGCTGGTGTTAAAAAGAATGTGCCCTTCCCAAGCCCACACAGACTCCGGCGTGGGTGGGGTGGGGTGGGGGGAGCTGGAGATCACAGGGCGACAGGGAGAAAGGGCTTGGCATTTCACATTTGACGCAAGTAGGTCATGTGCCTGTGTGGAGTCAGTAAATACCCCTATCTCTCCTGTCCATCTACGCTGTGTGGTATTAGGGTTGGGAGGCTGGTGTGTCAGCAAACTCACCGGCCAATACCTGCCCACGCACACTGCCCTTCAGAGCAGTTCTCTGGGGACACTGCACATTAGCCCCAGTGACTGCTACGATGCTGGCAGCCACCAGCAACATAAAATAAGTGCACGGCCTCCCAAGGGCGGCGCATCTCCTCTACATGGGTTTGCTCTGATGTGTTTGTTAAAATCAGTCAACTGCATCCATTTCTTTACAGCCGCTTGAGAGAATGCGCGAGTGCGTGCGGAGCTGTGGTGGGGGTGCGGAGGGGGCAGCAAACGCCTCTGCTCGCAGCACCCACGAGAAGCCAGCGGGGAGGGGCGCTGACACGCCCAGGGAAGGCCGAGCCTGGGAGCCAGGACTGGCTTGGTGTCTGGTCCCCAGGCCCGGACGCACCTGCTTTCTGGATGCGGGCTAGTTCCTTGGTGACAGCGGCGGAGGTGCTAAGTCCGCACAGGTTCTCGGAGAAGACGCGAAAGGAGTAGGCGTTTCCCACGATGAGGTCAGAGATGGTGCAGGTGGTCGGGTGGTAGCGCTCCAGCACCGTGAACCATTGCTGCGGGAACCCCAGCCCTGTCGTCCTCACCTCTGACCCCTGCCCTTGCCCACCCGGTTCGCCCTGCGACCCCTTCTTCGGAGGGGCTCATTCCAGGCCCTATCCCTGGGGGGCTGGCTGAACCATCCAGCTTTGGGAGAAGGGGGTCCCTGGGTCGCTCAGATGACCTCTCTGGGCTCCTCAGAGAATTCTAGATTTTTACTACTCAAAGGGTGGCCTGAGGACCTGCAAACTCAGAATCACCTGGGAACTTCTTGGAAGTGCGGGATCTCAGTCCCCACCCCAGAGCCACTGAATTAAAATCTACATTTTAGCAAGATTCCCAGGTGATTCGTAGGCATAAGTACATTTCCAGAAGCACTGCTCTAGACCTTGAAGGGCCTCAGAGAGCAACCCCCCCCACCCCCCCCGCCCCGGTCTTCAGGAGGGAACAGGCCCAGAGAGGACAGGGATCTTTCTAAAAGCTACATGAGGAGTCAAGTTAACAGCAGTTAGACTAGAACTTGGTCCCTGGACTCTTGGAGGGCAGGGCCTTCCTGGCCACCTTAGCCACTTCCTCTGGCCCCGCTCTGCTCCAGCAGGCCTTACCCCTGTCTTTTTGTCTGCCTTCTGCACTGTGTAGCCCAGGAGCTCTGTGTTGCCTGTGTCCTGGGGTGGCGTCCACTCAAGGGCAGCATTACAGCCCCAGACGTCCAGTAGCCGGATGCTGCTGGGGGGCCCAGGTTTCTCTGCAGGACAGAGTGTGAGGGGACAGTGAGGGGTAGGCCTGAGCTTGCCACATAATCCCCATACCCAGGATCTGGCTCCTGTCACAGTCTCTGGCCTGACCTCTTCAGCTGTCAGCTCTGGGGTAGGAGGTGGGGGGTCTCTGGGCCCCCGGCAAGTCAACCGTGCCTCCCCTGGCCCCGTACCAATCACCAGGATGTCGATGGCTGCCTTGGCCTCCAAGCCTTCCAGACGCACAGTGAGCTCATAGCAGCCCGAGTCGGAGCGCTGGGCCGAGCGGATGAAGAGGATGGAGTCCTGGTCCCCAGTGCGCACGTTCACTCGCTGGCTGTCCAGGGCGTGGCCGTTGTGGGTCCAAGAGGCCTGAGGCTTGGGACTCCCCTGGGAGGGAGGAGCTTTCATGGTGAGTGCAGGAAGCTCCAGCACCCCCATACCCACTTAACTCTAGGGGGTCCCTGGAGCCGTGCCCAGGGGAGCCGGCCTCACCAGCCCTTCCCGGGACGAACAGCAGAAGCTGGAGACACACGTGCTGCTCACAGCTCCGTTCTCCAGGCGTGCAGCCAGCCCTGGCACCACCTGCCCTGTCACCAGGCTAGAGAATCACAACTGAGTCGTTGTGAAGGGAGGGTGAAGCTATTGTGGTGGGTCTTAGGCCGACCCCCTGGGAACCCTGACGTCCCCTGGGCTCCTCCAACACACCTCAGATGGGGGCCCTGACTTCCATCCAGGTGGTCATCCTGGGCAGGAGCCGTACCCACCTGGAAGGGGATTTGCAGATTGACTGTCTCTCCCACCTGGCGGATGTAGGTCTGACGAAGATGGCGGGGGACACGGATCTTGGGGGCCTCTGCATCAAAGCGAGAGTTTAGGCTTAGCACAGTGATGGGGTTGCTGGTTGGAGGCTACTGTGGCTGGGGCAGGAAATAACTGGTGAGTGTCGCTGGCTGGGCAGGAGGGCTCCCAGATGTGTTCTGGGGCTGCCTCCTTGTGGGAAAGACTAAGCTCACCCTGGAGATCCAGGGGCCCGTATCCCCTAAGGCGCTTGGGGAGTGGAGAGCCGGGAGGTTCCAGGAGGGGAGGGCCTCCATGGTGTGAAGTGGTAGGCATCTCGGGCACTCCCTTCGCGCCCTGACCTTGCCAGGCTGGGATTTGCCCTGCAGCCCAGGCATTCCTGGGCTCCAGATGGGTCCTAGTGGGCTCCTTGGTTCCCCCTAGTGGCGATCAGGTGTGGCACCTGTTGGCCTTCATCCCCAGGAAAGGTGGCGATGCCATCCATTCCACACCCTCCATTCCACACCAGCCACCAGCCTCCATAGGAGCCCCTCTGAAATCAAGTTGCCCATTTCTCTGTCTCGAGGCCACATGGGAGGATTAGGAGCTTTCCTTTCTTAAACGAGCCAGAGCAGACATACCCCCTTCTTTCTCCGTCACCCCTCCCACTGCCTTTCAGTCTTACAGTTGGGAAATCCTTCATGAAATCTTACTTCAGTCCCATGCCAGGGCAGGGAGCCACCTTCCTGGCCGTCACCTCATCAGGTGCAACCGCTAAAGCTACTGGGCATTCCAAGGGCGCCTGCAGCAGGCCCCTGCCATTGTCGGTCCCCACCCCATCCCCCATCCCAGGCAGGGCAGCAGCAGTGGTGGCTGGGGCTCCTCGGCAGCAAACAGGTGGCAGCAGTTGGTGGGTGGCACACAGGCTGGAGGGGGAGGAGACGGTGAGAAGGAACACTGTGTCTCCGAGGATTAGCTGTGCAGGCACTTGGCTCTGGGAGCATAAGGAGCGGAATGCTCTAGAGGCAGCTGCAGGGGGCCAAGAATGCTCGGCAGCCCCAGGTGGCTAAGAAGGGACAGCTGAGCAGCCGAGGATTCTGGACAAGGTCCCCACCCTGTCCTGCCCAGGAGGAGGGCCTGGCTGCTCCATTTGCTCCCCCTCCCCCCCTTCTCTCCAGGAAATCCCCTCCTCTCCTGCCAGAGGAATTTTAATGGAGTCGCGGGTGCTGAGTGTGGCTGGCTCCTTCAGTTGTGCCTTGGAGTAGAGGGCCCTGGCCCTTGCACCCTTTCTGAGTCTGAGCTCCCTGGGGCAGGTCCAGGACCCCCCCAGCCAGGAGGGCTTCCTGGCGCCTCCGGGTTAGAGTCAACACATCCATACCATGGCTGCCAGGTGGGGCCATGTCTTACCCACACTCAGAGGGTGGGAAGGTCCCAGAGAAGGCTCCCTGACGCTTGGTGGCAGGTGAATGGTCTTGTGTGGGAGTCAGGTTCTGGGATTGCCGCTATTAGGCTGGGTGACCTCGAGGGAGTCGCTGGGCTCCTTGGGACCTGCTTGGCTTGGATGGACCAGCCGTGACAGTCTATGATTCAAATCTCCCTAGCCCCATGGTCCCAACATCTCTTGGGCCTTGAAGTTGAGAAGTATCTCCTTGAATCCAAACTTGACCCCTCCTGTGGCCATGAAGCCTACTCTTTTTTGGAGGCCTTGTCCAGAACTAAAGGTCCCTGTGGCTGTGGCGGAACAAGAAGGAAGGTAGAGAAGGCCTCAGGCCACCTGCTGGCCTGTGTCTCTCTTCACCCTGGGCCCTGGGCTGTCCCCAGAGACCTCAGATCAGACCAAATGACTCACTGCCATTAACAGACTGAAACTTGATCAGCTCTGGGAGGGGAGCAAGGGCAGGCTTGAGGCTAATGAGCCCTGCAAATAGAAATCGTCGTTAGCAAGGGGACAGCAGCTGGCCTCCTGGGTCCCCAGGACACCGCTGCCCTCTGGGGATGGAGAAAACTTCTCAGGTCTTCTGCAGGCTCTCGTCTTCCTCCCACTAGGGCTGTGGTGGGATAAGAGGCAAGCAAAGACTTCTCTCCGTTACAAAACCTTTGGGAAGATCTGGAACCCAGGCCGTGTGACAAGAACAGAAAATGGGCAGAAAATGAGCTTGCATGGCCACTGGAGGGGTTCAGATTAGACAGGAGGAAGAACAGGATGGCTCTTAGCTTTGGGACCCAGAGGCAGGTGACTTGGAGAACCTGAGCTTTCATTTCTGAGGGTCAGGGAGCCCCTCCCCCAATGCTGGGGAACCTTCTTGACCTCCAGAGACTTGCTGCTGAGGAACCTGGAACTTTCTTAAGGCAAGCTGGTGATAGCATGTGGCTTGTGCATGAGAGGGTGGGATGTGGGGAAATGATGGTCCCATTTCCCCGGCCCAATGGCCTCAGTTTCCCTACCCATCGGAGAAGGTGCCTGGGAAGGACTGGGGAGCAGGAGATGAGAGGGCAGACCTTACCGATGACCTCCTGGATGTGGATGGGCTGCTCTAGCACAGCTGGCGGGCCGGCCCCCGCAGAGCTCACCGCAGCCACACGCAGGAAGAATTTGTCTCCCAGAGCCAGGTTCCGCACAGTCTGCTGCGTCACCATCATGGGCCGGGCATTCACGGGTACCCACTCTGAGGCTGTGGAAAATGGAGAGCATGCAAGGCCCCAGCTTCATGGCCACAGGCATCCTTCTCAGAGGGGCCTTCCTTCACCCTGGTGATCTGGGGAGGCGGACCTCCCTCTCTGAGCCTTATTTTTTCCTTGCTCTCCTTCCTTGACTTCTTGTCAAATGGCATCAAAGACACCTGGTATTAAAGCCCTGGAATGGTGGCCAGAAAAGGTGTCACTAAAGCCCAGAGAGGGTTGGACACATTTGCCAAGTCACACAGCAATGGAGGGGCAAAGGCAGAAGCCAGGCTGGGCTTGGCCACCGTGGAGTGGACGGCACAGTGGCAGCAGGAATTGGGCCCTGGTCCCCTGTTTCTCCTCACTGCCTCCTACTGTCACCTCCCAGCTCCTCCGGTCTCCACCTCCCGCTTGCCCTCCCCCAGCAGGACTCGGCGTCTCCTTCATTTCTCAGCAGAGCTGCACCCCAGTGGCCCCGACCCTTCTATCTCTGTTACTCACTCAGACGCTCCTTGGACCTGGAGGGCAGGGAGGTCATTTGGACATCCCCCTGCCTCAGAGGTACACGGAGTAGCAAGAAGTGGTAGGTGAGTGGGTGGAGGGGACCACTCACACTTCATCCTTCCGTATCTACCCCCGAGACAGGCCTGGGATGCTGCAGGGCCTGGGCGCTGGTCCGTGCTACCCTCCCCCCAGCCCACCACCCCCGGGTCTACACAGGGCTTAGCCCAGAGCTCACCTCCCTCGCGGCAGAGCTCCAGCACATAGCCCTGGAGCCCCAGCCGCCCTAGCCTCTCTGGGGGCTCCCAGCTCACGGTCACCGAGCTGTCACTCACATCCTCCACGGTCAGCAGCAGCGGGGCACTGGGGACATCTGGGAGAGAAGTAGGGGGAGATGCAGGGGTCCATGGTGGAGAGCTCTCCCCACCCCTTCCCCCATTCCCTGCCATCCCGGCTTCCCTCTTCCACCTGCCCCATCTTTTGTCACCTTCACTTGGAGGTGCAGGTTTAGAGGCTGCAGGGGCTGCGGGGACAGGTGCCTGAGGGGCAGGCTCCTGTGGTGTGGGAGCCTGCGCTTCCCCAGGACTCTCCACTGCTGCCACTTCTCCAGAGGGTTCTGTGCTGGGTGCCTTGGAGGACTCAGAGGCGATCTCCTCCGGACCACAGGTGGGGACCTCCGAGGTGGCTTTGTCGGTCATTGCTGGGCTGGCTGGGGGCTGGGGGGGGGGGTTCAGGCTGGAGTGCGCAGGGGTCAGCAGGGGTAGGTCTGGGCCTCCAGGGTGCCTGGGACACCTAGGCCCAGGCTTATATAGTCAGGGGCTGCCCCACCCCCAGCCAAATGATGATTCCCAGCTGTGGGGTCAGGTCAGGCGGGAGGGCTGGGGGGTGGGGAGACGCTTAGGCCAGGAATAGCTCTGGGGGAGGAACGGCAGGGTCCCCTGAGGAGCGCACCACGTCGTCCATCACTCCAATTGGACCTCAGGGGCCAGGGTGCTGGTGCCTGGATGGCAGAAAGGCACAGATGGGTGAGATGGGACACTGCCGGGAGCCTGTGCCAGGGATCAGGGCAGTGGGAACAAGAGCTTCCATCTGGAGAAGGGACCCGGATCAGCCTCTGTGTTTGGCCTCTGTGGAGCCACTTGTACCCAGGGCTTGTCAGGTTGGGTGCTGGGACCCAGACAGCCCGGAACGGCGTTCCCTGGGGAGCACTGCCAGCTTTGCTCTGGGATTCCACACTCCTCGTGGATTCACATTCCCTGGGCGTTCTCAGTTGTGCTGTGTGAGGTTGAGGTTCTAGAGAGGGAAAGAACTGAGATGCCCAAGGTGTGGCTAGCTGGAGGAAAGTCTTCCAGAAATGGGACCCTGGGAAGGGGGTTGAAGGCCCCTGGTTACTGCTTCTGCTAGGGAGGCTGGAGAGGAGCCAGTCTCCCCATTCCCTGCTTGGGCCTCACTTTCTCCATGTATTACAGAGAGCCCTGTGACAGTCCCTTAGCCCTTGGAAATGAGATAAAGTCATGAAGCAGAGCTGGAAGAGACTCTGGAGGAGGACAGCACTCGGAAACTTCTAGACTCTTTGCAGCAGGGCATGGGCACAGGCATCTACAGTGGGGGCAATGAGGCAGGTGCAATCAAACGTCTAGTCGTTGATTCATTCATCCAATAAAACACTAAGATCGTTAATCATTGAAAAAGCCTGCAAAAACCACGTGTCAGGGAGGAGGGGAAGCAACAGGAGCTGTCACTGGTTGTGGGAGCAGATATCAAAGAAATCCCTTCGGAAAAAGTGAGACAGTATCTAGTAAAAGTAGAAAGTGGGCATATCTGGGGCCCAGTAGTGACACCCCTAGAAACCCTCACGCATGTACCCCAGAGACACACGCGAAAACATTCACAGCAATCTTATTTTTAAGAGCCGGACGAAAACAGCTGTCCCTCGATGGCGGAATGCAGGGCTCACTGTGGCGCAGGTATAAACCTCGAATCCAAAACACGGAGTGAAATGAACAAAGCTCAGCTACATGGACGATCTCACAGACATAATGGTGAACGAAAGAAGGCAGATTCATAGAACAGGGAGATCCCATCCACGTTCAGTTCAAACGCAGGCAACCCCCTGCTCTCTTCTTCCAGGGGCTTCTGTACATGGTGAGACCGCAAAGGAAAACAGGGGCGGTCAGGACAGGGGCTGCCTGGAGACAGAGGGCCACGGATGCAGGTGATGGCGGAGTTTCAGAAGCACTACTAAGGCCTCACTTCCTGTCCTGGGTGGTGTTTACACAGGTTTTCACTAGTTAGTGATTCTTTAAATTAAACAAATACATTTTATGCACTCTTTAAAAAAATCTTTTTTAATGTTTATTTTTGAGAGAGAGAGAGAGAGAAAGCGAGGCAGAACGTGAGCAGGGGAGGGGCAGAGAGAGGGAGACACAGAATCTGAAGCAGGCTCCAGGCTCTGAGGTGTCGGCACAGAGCCTGACGCAGGACCCGAACTCACAGACTATGAGATCATGATCTGAGATGAAGTCAGACTTAACTGACCGAGCCACCCAGGTGCCCCTTTATGCACTCTTTAGCATGTACAATATATACTGTAACTTAAAAATAAAAATGCATGTCATTTATTTAGGGCCCTCGGCCACACGCACGCTCTCCCCTTTCCCCAGGGCTGGCCACACAGGAGTGGGGCCGCCTTTTGCAGCTGGCTGTCCTCTCTGGGAAGTGGCCGTGGAGGGCCTGAGGAGCCTTGGGGTCCGGCCCTGCCTGGGTGCCTGTGTCCTCTGCCAGGTGACTCAGTGTCCTGCCAGGCAGGGGGCGGGCCCTGGAGACCCGATCCCCATCCCTGGCCTCTGACTCCGCAGCTATAAGTGAATGTGACTAACCCTGCAAGCCCCTGAGTCAGCCCTGCCGAGCTTGTCCGAGGCTGGGGGAAGGGTGGCTCCCGGGAGAAGGAGGGGGGTTGGCTGCCCTGGAGGGGTTTCAAAGACCCTTGTGTGTATGGGAGGGGGTGGCGAGGAGCAGGGATTGAGGGTGCCTGGCCCCACTCTCCTGCAATGAAATGCCAGGTAACTCCCCCACCTCCCAGCTCCGGCCAAGTTCTCGTTTTCTTTGCCGTTAGCAGGCCTGTGACCTTGGGATCAGTTGCATCTGCCCAGCTCCAGCTGGTTCAGATTTCAGGGTAGCCAATAGGTACTTCCTTCCTACACCTCTAACCAGTGTCACAAACCACTAGGTCAAGTCACAAACAATCCGAACCCGGGGGAATCCACACACAATTCTCTTTGACTTCGGATGGTGCATCTGGACTCTTGGGTAGAAGTCGTGCCTGGGGCCCTGGGAATGCTGATGCGAGCATTTCTACCTCATAAAGGCCGGAAGACGGGCTTGTCTTCGGAGCCCATCACATCTCATCTGCCTGCCACGTCCTGTCCCTGGCCAGCCTGAGCAGAGGAGCCTTGGGTTGGGGGCCGAGTGTGTCCCAAGAAGGGAAGACGATACCTGGATGGCCATCAGCTCTCTTGGGTTAAGTCCCCAGCAGATAGATCTGAGGAGGCTGGCCTCCTTTTGCGACCCTCTGGGGTCCAGTGGAGGCCACCGTAGCCTCACCTTCTGTAAGCTCAGAGCCCCAAGTCTGAAAGAAAGGAATCCAGAAGAGGTGGGGGAGGGGAGCCCAGGGGGTCCCGTGGGGCCACAAGGAGAGACTGAAGGAGTCTCAACATACTGCTAACCTCTGGTGCTTTATTGAGCAGCTGCTGGGCAATTGGGAAAGGGAAGTAGGAGGGGAGACGTGGTAACATTCCTGGGTGCAGGGTTCAAGTTGGGCTTCACAGAGGGTGTAATCAGTGTGGCCGCTGCTCTGAGAGTGATGTTTGGCTCCTCAGTTGGAGAGTGGGCCAAAATGGGGTCCTTTGGTGAGGAGGCCTGGGGGTAAGGGAGTTGAAGAAATCCCCTTGTATGGGGCTGGGGTCGTTGAGCATTTTCATAAGTCAGCAGGTGTGTGCTGCCCCACGTGTGGCCCCCAGGCCTTACCTGCCCACGGCCCTGCCTCTACCTGCTTGTCCACTAAAGCTGAGCCCAGATGGCTCTACGGTGGCCCTCTGCATGGGGTTCAAGGGAGGGAGACTGAGGCTTAGTTGGGGACTCAGCAGGGTGGGCGAGCAGGCTCCTGGCCAGCTGGAGTAAGGGGGAGGGGCCCCCCTGCCCAGCATGTGCAGGGCAAGGGCTAAGCCGCAGCAAGTGCATCCCTGATGGCAGTGGTGAGAGGGAAGTGCAGACCCTTGCCACAGAAGCTTCCCCGGAAGTCATCCAGATCCACAGCCCACACCATGGCACCAGCCAGCTGCCTGCTCCTCAGGTACTGCACCTGGAAGGGAAGAGCCAGGGCGGGCAGAGCTGGGTTCCCTGGGCCAGCATGTGTGGGGGTGGGGTGGGGAGGGATGTGCCACCTAGACCCCTCCCCGGGGAAGGAAACAGATGCCTCAGATCTGACTGCCCCCCACCTCAGTAACTGCGCTCTGCCCTCCGTGCAGGTGACCGGAATCTGACTGCTTAAAGAAGGGGCTCCCTCTCCCTCTTCATCCCGGGGCACGGCCTTGAGGACCTACCTTGTTTTTGACGCTCTCCTGGTCATCGTACCCCACCCACTGGTTGCCCTTGGTGGCATAGGGGACCTTCTGGCCGGAGAGTCTCTGGACCGTGGCTCCGTTGAGGAAGTCACAGATCTGGCAGAGAACAGGGCATGGGTGGCATGGGGAGCTGTGTGAGACTTCACTGGTCACCAAGGAGATGCCACTCTCCCAATCTCTTTCAGCCCCTTGCTTCATCCTGCTGACTACATTTGTCCCCAGCCTGCAGTCTTCATGCAAATTTGTGTAAAGCAGATGCAAATACCCCAGGGTTCTCTGGGTGCTGTGGCCTGAGGGCATTAGAGGGACTCTGGTTCGCTTCTGGTATTTTTTAAAAATATAATTTATTGTCAAATTGGCTAACATACAGTGTGTATAGTGTGCTCGTGGTTTTGGGGGTAGATTCCCAGGATTCATCGCTTACCTACATACACCCAGTGCTCATCCCAACAAGGGCCCTCCTCCCTGCCCATCACCCATTTCCCCCTCTCCCCCACACCCCCATCAACCCTTAGTTTGTTCTCTGTATTTAAGAGTCTCTTATGGTTTGTAACTATTTTCCCTCCCTCTCTGTTTGTAACTATTTTTCCCCCTTTTCCTTCTCCCAAGGAATTCAAACTGGCGCAGCCAGCCGCTCTGGAAAACAGTGTGGAGGTTCCTCAAAAAATTAAAAACAGAACTACCCTACGACCCAGCAATAGCACTGCTACTATTTTATCCAAAGAATAAATTCAGGATAAATACAGGAGTGCTGATGCATAGGGGCACATGTACCCCAATGTTTATAGCGGCGCTTTCAACAATAACCAAATTATGGAAAGAGGCCAAATGTCCATCAACTGACGAGTGGATAAAGAAGATGTGGTTTATATATACAATGGAATACTTCTTGGCAATGAGAAAGAATGAAATCCTGCCATTTGCAGCAACGTGGATGGAGCTGGAGGGTATTAAGCTGAGTGAAGTAAGTCAGGCAGAGAAAGACAGATATCGTATGTTTTCACTCCTATGTGGAACTTGCTTCCGGTATTTTGAACAGGGATGTGGGAGATGATGGCTTGACACTAAGGACTGGCCTGCGGCTGTACAGAGCAGCAGAGGCGGGGGCAGAACAAAGAGCCTGCCTTTTAGCCATTGCTCTTTTTTGGGCTGGAAGGGAAACTTCAACTCGGTGGCCAGAGGAGTATTTGGGAGCTTAGCAGAGCAGACCTGGGGGGCCTGCAGGAGGCTTCGTCGACTTTGTAGCAAGAGGCCTGACCTCCCCCTTCTTCCTCCTCAGGGTGCTATGTTCACTAGAACATTTTTTTATTCCCAAGGGAGCACATGGGGGTGAGGTGGGCAGCTCACCTTCCCCAGGGCCTCTGGGAGTGTGAGGATCTTACCCCCTCCCTCGTTCATACCTCATAGTAGGCCAGGATCCCCTCCTCCTTGGTGAACCGGCCTGGTAATCCGGGCCCGGAGATGGGGGCACCCACACCCGTCTTGGAGGAGGCCAGAGTGAAAGTCCTCCCAAAGGTGGGGATGCCCATCACCAGCTTATTGGCTGGGGCCCTCAGTCTCAGCATGTAGCCCACGGCGTAGTCCTGGCAGAGGGAAGGAGGGGAGGGCATGAGCAGCTAGCGGGGCTGGCGGTGCAGGATGAGCAAGACTGTACAATTGCCAGTGCTGCCTCGATGGGCTGAGCTCTAGGTCTGCCGTGCATCTGGGAGCCCCTTCCTTCCGGGAACTGATAATATCAGTCTCAAATGCATTTTGTAGGGACCCCTGGGTAGCTCAGTCGGCTGAGCACCCAATTCTTGGTTTCGGCTTAGGTCATGATCTCATGGCTCCTGGAAGTCCTGTGTCAGCTCTGCGCTGACATCATGGAGCCTCCTTGGGACTCTCTCTCACTCTCTCTTCCTCTCCCCTGCTCATTCTCTCTCTCTCTCTCTCACACACACACACACACACTATATATAAATAAACATTAAAAAATGCATTCTGTGGTTTCATTCTCAAAAATATTGTCTTGGGTATAGGAAGGGATTATTACTATTTGGCAGTCAATACTATTGGCAGCCAATCACAGAGCAAGTGAAAGGCTGGTCTAGACTAGACTCCTGCCTCCTCTGTTCTGGAGCCATGGGGAACTCACAGACTGCACCTTAGTGTCCTCATCTGCAGGATGGGGGCCATAACCCCTCCCTTGCAAGAATTCCTGGGGTGCATGGGGTTGGTGTGTGAGCACCGGCAGGTGACAGGTCCCTGTGGCCCGTTCCTTGGCCACCCTCCTTCCAGGCACTCACGGCATTGTTGAATCTGTCAGCGCTTGCGTCCTCCTGGCCTCGGAACAGGGGGCTGTGATGCCCTGTGGTCTGACGCCAGGCTCCGTGAAAGTCATAGCTCATAACGTTGATGAAGTCCAGGTGTCTGGGGAAGGGAGGTCAGAGGGCGAGGCAGGAGATTAGAAACGTCTCACATCCATCAGCCCAGCATGTGGTGAACAGCGTAGTCAGGAGACAGGCCATTAACCCAAAGGCCCATCCGAAACCTGTGATCCGCTATCCGGGCCACCCCACCACTTCCCCTGCGCCGCACCCAGGAGTGGGCTCAGAACTCCACCGGTGCATTTAAGGCAAGAATGGAACTCTTCTGTGATGACTCCGGCACACGTTTGGGAACTGGCTCTATCTTGCCTTCCGCCCTCCACATCTGCCATGTTCATCTTAGTGACAGCAGATTAAAAGTGGCATCAACAGGCAGCCTGGTGGGGATGGAGCTGGACTGAAGGAAGGCCTGTACCTAGGACTCACTGGGCTGGGGAGGGAGGTTTACACACACGTGGGGGAGAGGGACCACAGATAGGCTGCGTGACTGTGAGCTTCAGATGTCGGGGGCAAATGGTTGAGAGCCACCTAGTTCCTACCTCCTAAACCATCAACTTAAACACTGAATCTACACCTCCCCAAATTGTAGAGATTCTAAAAAGTCAGAGTAGGGGTGGCTGGGTGGCTTAGTCGGTTAAGCGTCCAACTTTCGCTTAGGTCATGATCTCGCGGTTCGTGGGTTCGAGCCCCCCGTCGGGCTCTGTGTTGACTGCCAGCTCAGAGCCTGGAGCCTATTTCGGAGTCTGTGTCTCCCTCTCTCTCTGACCCTCCCCTGCTCACACTGTCTCTCTCTCTCCTAGAAAAAAAAAAGTCAAGAGTAAAGAACCTTTGTTCTTTATTCCTAGGTTTCCTAAGACCTGCATCTTTATTTCATGGAGGCACCAGCCCCTCTGGGGAATGAACTGCTCATTCTCACATGCATCAGGGGGCGGGGGAGGATGAGGGATGCACAGAGAGGGGGCCGCCTGTGTGTGTGCAAGCGCCTGGAGGCGGCGTAGAAATGCACAGTTTTATTGCCACTGGCCTGCCTCTCTCTAGTCACTAGCAGTCTGTGTGCGGAGAAAAGCCTGGTGTGGACAGTGCCCCTCAGTGACTGGCCAGTTTGTATATCATTTCCTACTTCCTTTTCCACAAATACATTCATAGAAACTCTCTCGACTGGTTAGCACAATCCCCCCGTGTGAAAAAGGAAGGGCAGGGATTGCTATGTCCCATTCGACAGATGGGAAGACTGAGGCACAGCATGTGGAAGTGACTTGCTCAAGAACACACTGTCAAGTTTTTGGAAGAACAGGGACTAGAAATCCAGTCTTGCAACTTTACATGGAGCACTGGGGCAGGGTGGGGCGGGGGACTCACTGGGATATCTGGGCGATATCATAGCCATTGTCGATGGCTACCTTCCCTGCAGACACGGCCGCGCTTAGCAGGAGCTGCTCTGTTCCCGTCTGGGCTTCCCTTGCAAACTCAGCCTTCATTTCCTGGTTGGGAGAGATGCAGGGGAGTGAATGGGGCCCTGGCTGTGTGACAGAGAGACTTGTGAGAGAGGCTGAGGTCCCTGGGCGTGTCATTGACCTTCCCCATCTGCTGGGATCCCCAACCTGACAGGGCTTTGGTGGGAATGATAAAGCAACTGACTGGTGGGCTCCCCCATCCTTCTCCTAAAAAGCCTGTTTGGACCAATCACGTCCCCACCCCCACACACACCCATCGACAGTTGCTCCCTGTCCCAGAGGGACAGGAGGACAGGCGGTGATCCTAGTTGGCTCACATCGTGTTGGAGAAATCTGCTTTGCGGTCTGTTTTGTTCAAGCCAGTACGTGAGACAACGAAATTAAAGTGGTCTTTAAATTTACATTTAGCACTCTTTAAAATTAACGTTGTATCGGTACTGTGGGCAACTTATTTAGGGAATCTCTCTGTCCCTGGGGTCATGGAGATGCTTGGGCTGCTGTCAGATGTGGCCGAGTGTCCCCAGCACCGGTGGGGAGTGGGCAGCATCAGTTTGGGACCAAACAGTGGATGATGATGCCGCCCCATTGAATGGACAGGGATGAGTGGGAGCCCCGGTTAGTGACCTTCTGCCTCGGAGACCCCCCACCCCACCTCCCACCGTGGTAATATGTCTTCCTTGTTGTGTGAGACCTTAGGGCACAGGCCGGCTCGTCTCTCCTCCGCCCAGGGCCCAGGACCCCGCAGCCAGGAGGTCTCAGGCCCTCTCTGCCCACCCCTGGGAGGCCAGCAGCTGAAGACCGCTCCTGCCCACCCGGCTCCCTGGTGCCGGATCACGTCCCCACCGTCTCCACCGCTCTCCCCGACCCCCCAGCACCTTGACCAGGGTGGTGAAGTAGCGCTTGTCTCTCCTCCCAGGGTGGATCCAGGCCAGGTCCAGCCCATCAAAGCCATGGGTTCGCAGAAATGGCGGCACCGACTTGATGAAAGTCCTACGACTCTGGGTCTTGGAGGCTATTTTGGAAAATCTAGGACCCAAATCACCCCGGCAGAGGGCTCAGTGCTGACATGCTGGGAGACTTGGCTGTCTGGTGGGATTTCTGAGGCACGTGCAGCCGGGGGCCCGAGCCCCACAGCTCTAGAAGGGCAGGGCTGGGACAGGACCCAGGTCCAGGCATCTCAGAGAGAGCTTTTGTGGTTTCATTCTCGAAAAAATTGTCAAAACGAACCAAGCTACTTTGGAAAGGTCATAACCTGCATCTCCGTTTCGTCTGTGAAGTGGGGATAATGACCGTGTTTCACAGTGTTGCTGTGGGGATCACCTGTGATTGTGGCTGGATGGGGTACCTGACACGTAGTGACCACTCGCTAAGTGCGAGCTATTAGGGCCACGTCTCGCCCCCTTTCTAAGCTCTGATCCAATCCTACCCACTCCAGGAAGTCCTCCCAGGCTCTTGACAGTTTGAAATCTTCCATTCTTTCTATCCCTCTCCTTCCAGCCCTTAGGGTGGTATCTCCCAGAAGCTCTGTGCTTTCAGGTCTGAGGGCCAGTAAGTGGAGCGCAGCCAGGGAGTCCTAAGATCCACTGGCAACGTGCTGTGTGACTCTCTCTGCAAGGCCCTCTCCCTCTCTGGGCTCTGGTTTCTTGGCTGTATGCGGGGTGGGCACCTGACAACCATTTAGGCCTAACCAGTCTGGGGTCCCCATTGACCCCATAGAGTAGGGGCAGGGGGAGACCTATGCCTCCTCATCCCCATTCCATCATCCTTTGGGGAATGGGTCTTACCTTTGAGACCCAAAGCTCCATCCTCCCACGGACAGAAGGGTCTTCAGGTTGGGGTTCCTGTGGGGAGCAGGGAGGCAGGAGGGCCGGGCTGGAGTGAGGCTACCGTGACACAGGCTGGCCCCTGTTTGGGAGGCTGTCCCAGGCTTCTAGCTTAGGCGGGATGTCCTCCCAATCCTGAGAGTCAGGATTCTAAGACACATAGACTTCGCGGCAGTTACTCTGAGTAACTCTGCCCGTTTTTGCTCCCCTGAGTGGGGAAGCCAGGATCTAGCAAAACAGAGTCATGAGTATTTTCCATGCTTCCTGGAGAAGCACCCCCAGTGGGTGGGGGGAGGGGGAGGGCTCCTCTGCCTGAGGGAGAGCTCAGCTGGCCTTCTAGAGGCTGCCTCTGTCGTCACCCAGACGTGTCGTCTGGCCCAACACGTGCCCTCATTGCTTCCTCCCGCTGAAGCCGAAGCCCTCCCACCCCCCACCCTGGGTTCTGGGGGCCCTCACCCAGCCTCCGGAGCGGAGGCACCCTGCCCTGGGACCAGCCAGCCTAGCCCTCCGTCTCCCTTCTGTCCCGGCAGCCTGTGGCCCAACCTGTTCTTGAGCGTGTTGAGCGTATCGTAGAGTGTGACATCGTTCCACTCCCAGGTGTCAATCTCATCGTTGCTTATGTTGGCAAAGCTGTAGATGATGTGGGTGCAGAGGAAGGGGTCGATGGCATCTGGGAGGCAGCTCCCCTCACCCTCCCGGTACTGGGACCAGCTGGTATAGTAGCAGACCAGTTTGTATGCAGAACCTGAAGATGAAGTCCGGGGTGAGGCGCCAGGACTGAGCTGGGGGTGGGGGGCTCTGATTGAGCCCCGTGCTGAGTGCCGATGGGGTACTGGGCACCCGGGCTGAGATGTGAGCAAACTTAGAATTCTAAATGCGAGGGGCTGCCTCAGTTCCCTCTGCCTCTGATGAAAATCAGGGCGATCCTGACAATGCTTGGAACAGATTAAATGCAGTGGATGAATATCTTGTAGACTTAGGGCCTGGCGCTGTGTGCCCTGAGGGTAGGGGCTGGTGAATAAAGGTAAAATGGGACCTGGTGCAAATAAAGAAGGCTTCCTGGAGGCAGTGGCTTTGAAGAAGAGGAGGGACCCAGCTCAAGACTCTGGCCCTCAGGGTGGAACCTTGCAGATGCTACAGGGGCTTTGATCTGGGCGGCTCCACGTTTCTTCTCTGCCCTCCTTTGGGAGTGTCCCTAACTTGTAACCCCCCCCCACCATGGTGGTCCCCAGACTCCCCTCAGCCCATCCCCCAAGCTGGGACCCAATCACAATGGGCCAGGAAGTTCTGAAGTTCTCCTCATTCTAAGTCCTGCTGCAGAGTAACCTTTTCCGCCCTCCTGGTTATGGAGGAAGAACTGCAGGCAGCACTTGGACTGTGAGTCCAGGCCTTCACCAGATCTGAGCCTTTGAAGGGTTTTTATTTTGAAAATTTTCAAATATACAGGAAAATAGAGAAAAGTAAAATAAACATCCCTATGCTTATCACCTTGGGTTAACAAATCCTATTTCTGAGCCATCTGAATCGTGGAAGAAACTAGAAAGGACTCCCCTCTGCCAAGACTTCATCTGCATCACCCTCATCACACCCCCGTCTCCCGTGACTTGAAAGAGGGGTACTTACAGCTCTGGAGCAGCACCAGGACCACAAGGCCTGAAGGGAGATCCAGAGTCAGACCCCTGTGAGCACATCCTGCCCTTGCTTTCTGCTCAGCCCCCTCCCAGGCCATCTAGGGGTTAACACCATTTACCCTGCCTCCTCCTCCCCCTCCTCCTGCCCCTCCTCCCCTTCCACCTGCTCCTCCTCCCCTTCCACCTGCTCCTCCTCCCCCTCCACCTCCTTTTTCCCCTCACCTCCTCCTCCCCCTCCCCCTCCTCCTCCTGCCCCTCCTCCACCTCCTCCTCCTCCCCTTCCACCTGCTCCTCCTCGTCCTCCCCCTCCCCTTCCTCCTCCTCCCCTTCCACCTGCTCCTCCCCTTCCACCTGCTCCTCCTCCCCCTCCTCCCCCTCTTCCTCCGTCCCTTCCTTGCCCCCCACCCCCAGCAGGTAGGAGGCCAGCCTCCTGTGCAGCGTCTCTGTGTGCTGTCTGGACCTCTCAGCCTGAAAACCCACTCCCGGAGCAGCCCTGACCAGCCCAGAGACCTGTCTGAGCCGCCCTCAGGACCATCCTGGCTGCGGCAGAGGGGGGCACGGTGTGGCCAGTTGCGGTGCCCTCGGCTCCTGGTGTCCAGCTGCCTAGATAGGGCTTCGTCCCCACGCCCCACTCTTCCTTTTTATACCTGTCCCACTCCACTCCCACGAGCTCCAAAAACATCGCATTTATGGGAACCGAGCTGCGGAGAGGAAGGAACTCCCGGGCTGGGACACGCAGGGGAGGAGCACTGCGGGCCTCCAGAGGAAGATTGAGAAACCTTGGAGAGTTTTGAAAACTTGAGCCAGGTCTTCAGGAGGCCCGGGCCACCCACCGGGGTGATGATCTGGTGGCTCCTGGGGGAGTGACCCAGCCTGATTCCCAGAGACCTTCCGCCCTGGCCTGCTGCGCACCCCACCCCCGCCCCCACGTTCCTGCCTGCAGCTTCCCTGCTCTTCTGGCAGCCTCTCCCTTTGCATCGCCCCGTCCAGGCCCCTGGCCAGGTGGAAACTGGGTACAGTGGGTTCTGGGATCTGCAGCTCCCCGAACAAGGCTGTTACTTCTTTTCTCCTCAGGCCAGCCGCATCCTGCCTGACCTGCTCCCCACTCAGGCTTTCTCTTCCCAAGCCTGGTTCCCACAGGAGGGTCAGACAGCCTTTTAGCGATTGATGTGCTATTTTCATTTTAATTTTAGAAGAGAAAGAGAAAGTTGGCGAGCAAGGGAGAGACGCAGAGGGGATTCGCAGCATGGAGCCCGACAATGTGCTGATTACTTTCTAAGGGAAAGCTGGAGAGGAGTGGGCAATTCCCCAGACTGCTCTCAGGTCTGCTGATGGTTTGCTTCTTTTTGAAATTCCAGTCAGTAGGATTTGTTGCAAGCCTGGGGCTGCAGGGAAGTGCCAAGGAGTTAAGTCCCTCAGCTCCAGATTTCCCCCAGGAGCAGATCATTCCAGAAGACTGATAACCTCCATAATCTCTCTCAGTGATGCTTCTGAAACCCACACCTCACCATGTCACCCGCAAGTCCTCCAATGATTCCTTATTATTCTCAGGGTAAGAACAAAGCTTTAAAAAAATTATTTTTAAGTTTATTTACTTTTGAGAAAGAGACAGAGCACAAGCAGGGCAGAGAGGGAGAAGGAGACAGAATTGGAAGCAGACTCCAGGCTCAGAGCCTAATGCGGGCCCTGAACTCACGAACTGTGAGATCACGACCTGAGCTGAAGTTCAATTCTTAACTGACTGAGCCTCCCAGGCGCCCCAGAACAAAACTTCTTAAGGAGACTCTGCATGGTTTGCCCGCTTTGTGGGGATACTTTTTTTCTTTTGGCCAAAGATCCAGGGCAAGTCCATTCTTTGCAGACTGTAAATTAATTAACAGGCAGTGAGTGAAAAGTTCCAAATTCCAAGAACCAGAGCAGGTCAGAGGGCTTCTTAACAAAGTCCTTTTATTTTTACCACAAAATTAGGTAATAGTCCACTGTTAGCCACTATGTTTTACAGCCCTCTCTCGGTGAGTGAGGTCTCTCCCTCTCTCCCTTTCCCCCCTCCCCACCCTTCCTCTCCTTCGTAAAACTGGAACAAGTCCCCTCTATTGTATGAGGAGTGGACAAAAAGGAATTTGTCCAGAGTCCCTCTGTGCATACTAAAAGCGTCACTGCTTCTCCCTTTTAAGGCCACTGCCTCCTTTCAGACCCTGGATGAAAACGGTAACGCCAGTCAGTGATAACTTTTCCTCATTCATTTGGGCCTTGAGAAGTGAACTTCCAATCCTTAGCAGAACTACTACAAAGTAGCACGCAAGAGAAAGTTTCATTACCCGGTGCAGTACGTTAAGAAAACACTTCCAATTTTCACTCTTCCTTTGCTAAGAGTTATCTCATAGGCTCAGATTTGCCTAAGCCCTGTGGTCCTGTGCCCTTCTCCAAACCAGTTTATTAATTCTACATGTTCTGCATGAGTGTGGCAGGGTCACAACAGATGGCCGGTGCCGGCCCGCCTCAGCAGCAGTTGCTAAGTGTTCCCTGGCTCAGCGCCTCCCAGCCTCATCTCATCCCCTGCCCCCTGCATCCCTACGCTCCACCCTCCTTTTGTATCCGTATATTTGCTCTACTCTCTCCCACCACAGGGCTTTTGCACATGCCATCTACTAGCCTGTCAGTAACTGAAGGGTCTGAGGTTTCATGCTGCTTGCCAGCTAATGAGATAGACAGCCACAGTTTCTTTTCTTTTCTTTTCTTTTTTAAATGTTTTATTTATTTCTAGGAGAGAGAGAGAGAGACAGCGTGAGCAGGGGAGGGTCAGAGAGAGAGGGAGACACAGACTCCGAAACAGGCTCCAGGCTCTGCGCTGGCAGTCAGCACAGAGCTCGACGGGGGGCTCGAACCCACGAACCACGAGATCATGACCTGAGCGAAAGTCGGACGCTTAACCGACTAAGCCACCCGGGTGCCCCAGACAGCCACAGTTTCGAGGATCCCTGCAGAAAACATGAGAATCCTAGGTCAGAGGCAAAAGACTTATTATTCATGGCAGGGCAAGAAGCATGGAGTTCATGCTTGTGTGTCATTTCCTGTGATGAGAAAACAGCTATTTTGAATTGCTGCCTCTGCATTTTATAGTATAACTCTGCTCACCCGCAGAGTCTGAACATTCAGATAGAGGCCCAAGCTTAGAATTCCTGTCATGAGTCCCTGCTTCGTTTTTCTTGATACACCTTTTAAAATAACCGCTTAGAGCTGAACCAGTGAAAAGTTACTGACCTCTGCCCCCAAGCACCTTACAGTCAATAGGTGCTTGCTCTTTATCTCTTGCCTGCTCGTGACCTGAGACAGAGGACCATCCTTCTCCTTGCTGATTGCCATTTATCCTCATTTCTGAGAATTATAAGTGAGAAATCTTGTGGCTTTACTTCTCTTGTGTGACCATATTGAAACTGTGTGGAGGTTCCTCAAAAAAATAAAAATAGACCTCCCCTACGACCCAGCAATCGCACTGCTAGGAATTTATCCAAAGGATACAGGAGTGCTGATGCCTAGGGGCACATGTACCCCAGTGTTCAGAGCGGTGCTTTCAAAAATAGCCAAATTATGGAAAGAGCCTAACTGTCCATCAACCAACAAATGGATAAAGAAGATGTGGTTTATCTCTACAATGGACAACTACTTGGCGATGAGAAAGAATGAAATCCTGCCATTTGCAATGACGTGAATGGAGCTGGAGGGTATTATGCTGAGCGAAATAAGTCAGTCGAAGAAAGACAGATATCATATGTTTTCACTCATATATGGGTATTGAGAAACTTCACAGAAGACCATGGGGGAGGGGGAGGGGAAAAATAATTACAGAGAAGGAGGGAGGCGAACCATAAAGACTCTTAAATTCAGAGAACAAACTGAGGGTTGATAGGGATTGGGGGAGAGGGGAAATGGATGATGGGCACTGAGGAGGGCACTTGTTGGGATGAGCACTGGGTGTTGTGTGTAAATGATGAACCATGGGAATCTACCCCCCAAAACCACACTGTATGTTAGCCAATTTGACAATAAATTATATTAAAAAAATAAAAAATAAATATTTACTGAGTTTCAAAAAAAAAAAAAAAAGGCCCGGGTACTCACTTCCCCAAGGGGGAGCTCTGATACCGAGGGCACTACCCGTGTGGATGGCCTGTGCCTCTTCATTCAGCAGGTCATAATCTGCATATTCTTTTTAATTCTCTTTATTTTTAATTTTTAATTTTTTAATTTTTTCTAAATTTATTTATTTATTTTGTGTGTGTGTGTGTGTGAGAGAGAGAGAGAGAGAGAGAGCCCGCACATGCACACGTGTAAGCTGGGGAGGGGTAGAGAGAGAGGGAGAGAATCCTAAGTAGGCTCTGAGCTGTTAGCACAGGGCTCAATCCTATGAACTGCAAGATCATGACTTGAGCCGAAATCACAAGTTGGATGCTTAGTGGACTGAGCCGTCCAGGCCGCCCCCACATATTCCTTTTTGTTAATTTGAATTTTATTTAGTTAACATACAGTGCAGTGCTGGTTTCAAGAGTAGGATTCAGTGATTCATTACTTACATATAATCTGCATATTGTTTTTTAAAAAATGTTTATTTATTCATTTTTGAGAGAGAGAGAGAGAGAGAGAGAGAGATTGAATCTCAAGCAGGTTCCATGCCCAGCACAGAGCCCAATATGGGGCTTGATCTCAAACCATGAGATCATGCCCTGAGCTGAAATCGAGAGTTGGATGCTTAACTGACTGAGCCACACAGGTGCCCCAATATGCATATTTTTAATATAACACACCAGCTCTGGGGCCCCCAATACCCTTCCCTTGACCCCAAGTTCCAGCGGTGACATCACAACAGCTCAGGTGGATCCTGTGTGTGCAACATCTTGTGTCACAGCAGAGGAACTGAGCTTGGAAGACCCGAATATTTTACAGTGAGCAGTAAGCCTGACTCTCCTTGGCTCTGAGGGGGAGACATTATCTTTATTACACTGGCCAGTAAGCAAAGCTGCCTTTTGCTCCAGGGGAAAACACTGCTTCTATCTTCGGAGGCTGTTTGCTATATAAACAGGATCCAAAAGGTAGCCTGGAACAAAGAAGGCCTGTTCTCTGTTTACAGGATGTGCAAAAGTGCAAGAGTCCTGGGGCGAGTTGTCTCCCAACACAGCCCTTCTGTGACCAGATTACTCCTACTCATCCTTCAGATTGAGTCTCCGCAAGCACCTTCAGAGAAGGGAGATGCCCTGGGGAGGGAGACTGACCTATGGGGGCTATCAGAGTACTTTGTACCCCTTTTCCTAGTACCTGACTTAGTTGTAAGTTTACGTCTTGTGTGTGGATGTGATGCCTTATTAATGTCTGCCTCCCTCACTAGGCAACAAATTCAGTAAAGGCAAGGACCAGACCAATTATTTTTACATTTTATTTTTATTATTATTTTTTAGTTGAAGTACAATTAACATACAGTGTTATATTAACAACTCTCTACATTACTTAGTGCTCATCACGGTCAATGTACTCTTTATCACCCTCACCTGTTTCACACATCCCCCGGCCCACTTCTTTCTGGTAACCATCAGTTTGTTCTCTGTATTTAAGAGTCTGTTTTTTGATTCTCTTTTTTT